GTTTATGTTTGCTTTAGTTTTAAAAGTAAATAATTTATTTTTAAAATCTAAGTTCTAAAACAATTATTTACTTTAAAACTTACTTAAATTTTACCTTTAGATTTTTATACAATTTTTAAATTAATTTTTCTTATCCTCGTGAAGCTCTGACTTGAAGAATGGCACGGAGCCACGCTGGAAGTAAGTATTAATGACTTAAATTATCGTCCCGTGTAAAAGTATTTAAAGTGCTGAATATATAAAAATATTGTACAACGCGTATACTTGCGATTTACTTGAAACGAAGTAGAAATAATCTTTAACAAAGAAAATAGAAGAGATAAACGGTTCATCATTTCAAAAATGTTATTTCTTGCTAATGGTGCTGAAAAGTTTTATATGTATTCGATAATGGAGCTTTTATTGAAAATCTTTAAGAGATTAAAGTTTTATTTTCAAGAGAAATATGTAGTTAACTAACTTTCCATTTACGTAAATAAAATGCAAAAGAGATCAATTTTCCATACTTTCTTACTATAAAACCTGTGAACAACGGCCACTGAAAGGTACATAAATAAATGGTCGTTATTCAGCGGTGTCCTCTGTTTGTAGGTTTATTTTGTACGTGTTTCAAAAGTCCCGAATAGATGTCCGCCGTTTACAGGTTACTACTATTTTTTTTTTAATTTTTAAGTGTAATTACGTGTAAAATTATTCAGTAAAAAAGTAAATTTAATGTAAATTGATGAAGTAATGCACTTTTCTGTCCGGTTTAGTGGCGTAATCAATGAACGTTTTAAAAAATTTCTTTAAAATTAAAGTTTTAAATTAAAAAAAAAAATTCAAAATTAAACTTGCTTTGAGTTAAAACACCACCAAAATAACCAGATTTTGGCATTTTACGGCTAAGAAGAGCCCTTTTATATCTAATTTCTTAAATTTTAACAACGACCAATGACGAGAATATAAAAATATGGTCGTTGTTTGAAGGTTACTTCGTATGTTTTTCTGTTCAAAAACATAAAAAAAAGTTTGAGAAAATGGCCTTGGTTTAGAGGTGGCCTTTGATGAAAGGTGGCCATTGCTGAAGGTAAGAATTTTTTTTTTTTTTTTTTTTGGAATTCGAACAAAAAAATGATCAAAATCAAACTTAAATTTGTTTGTTTAGAATTTAAATTTAATTAAAATATCCAAAAAACTCAACTTCGTGTCTGTTTACAAAGAACTAATTCCATTAATTACAAAGAAAAAAAATTAAATTAATTTATCTAAAATCTATTTCACCCATAAAAAAATCGAAAAATTTATTTATTTTCACTCAGAAGAACATAAATTAATAACATCCTTCGATTAACATTAGCTGAAAGTACAAAATTTCCTGTAAGTTACATCGTTGGAATGTATGTCTGTCTGCTCATTGACCCATTTATCTCCATAACTGAACACCGAAATTTAATGGGACTTGGCTTATACATTAACACAATTACCATCTATCCATGGACCAAATTTGGTTAAAGTCTGCTTACTTTAATGTATAATACGCAATCGAATATGTGTCGGGATTTTTGTCCCGTTTTCTAACCTTAATATTAATTATAATAAACCTTTTGATATTCTAGAACATCTTAAGAAGATATTAAAGTCTCTGTATATTTCTCGAATATCTGTAATTTTTTTTTATTATTCTAGAGAAGAGTATTCTATTTTAGAGCTACTCTAGAATATAAAATATTCTAGAACATTAGAAATTTTGTAATATAGACTATAAAAATAATGCTACCCTAGAATATAATACTTATAAACAATACCTCTATTTCTAGATATAGAGTTACTCTAGAATATACTATAGAGCTATTCTAGAGTGGATCTAGAATATAAAAGTCAGGAATTCACATAAACAATCTTTAACTGGTTTTTAACAGATTGAAGACTTATAACTTACGGGAGATTAATTCCAGAAAAATAAATTTGTCTTGTATATTTTTTAAAAAAATCTTTGTTTTTTATTATTTTATGCTCGTAAAGTTGCCATAGTACTTCACAAAGATTTATGTCAGACGGATTTATGGGCCGTGTAACGTTTCAAACAAACATTTGCTTCTATAATATTAATGGTCGATTGTGTTGTTTGCAGTCAACATGCAAACAAATCATTCCAACTTCTTATCTATTTGCAAAAAAAGAGAAAATCCTGACGCAAAAATTTGGTTATAATTTAATAGATTTTCAATTGTCTCACCTCTAATATAAGCTTAAGTATATACCAGGTCGACTGTTCAATTGAAACAAAGCATATTATATAACTCATACACGGCAAAACAACAAATTATCCACTAGAAAAACCGTTAAACATTTTAAAAAAATTAACATTTTCTTATAAATAAAGCATATATTTAACCCATTAAACCCTTAAAATTTCTTACTTATAGAACAAACAAAACATCTTACATAACTCCTACATAGAAAAACCATTAAACATTTTAGTGTGAATATTTACAATTTTAAGCATACTTGAACAGTTTTAAAACTTTACATATAGATCTTCCGTGATTAAAAATTGATTAAATCACGATAATTAAAGAGAAAGTATAAGATAACATGGAGAAATCTTTAATCGAACTTTGTAGAAAATGGCAAAAGGTGAACATTTACCCCTCCCACACTTATCAATTCTCTTTACCTGATGCCATTTCTTCTATAATATAAAAGAAAAATTATTCTAGAACAAATTCGTGTCACTGGATTGTAGAAATAAAATAAAATATGGAAACAAATTTTTTATATGTATTTCCTACTTAACTTTAAAACGTAGCTTCTATCAATTTAAATGTTAAACTGTAGGAAAATCACGGACAACGCTTTGTTAATTAAAGTCAAGTTATCAAATTTACATTTTCTGGATAAACTTTCCTCTTTAACTTAAACTAATGCGAGAATAATAACAAAGAGGAAATTATAGAAATTTAAACACAATTCTAATGCTTACTGATTATTATTTTATGTATGTAACATTTATCAATTTCACATGAAATCGTGTGAAGCATCCTCACTTTTATCCTGAATTCTGCGAAAATTTTATTTAAAAAATTATAACATTTTATAATTTTTAAATAAAAACGGCTTTAAAATATTAAATTTTAAATTAATTATAT